TGATGATCATGAAAGTTGAGACTTTTTAATGCACATGGAGAATTGAATTAAATATGGTAAAATATAATTTTAGCGCATTCTTAAGAAATTGAAGAACGATGAGAAAAGGATTCGGAATTGTAAGTTGAATCACAAGAAAATCGAGTTTTAAATTGAAACAATAGTTAAGAATTATGAGAAATTCTTCAATTTTGGCGTGAACTCGTCAAATTATGATTTGATTGATTTAATAAATCAGAAGAATAATTGATATTGGTACAAGTCCATGGCCCCCCTATTTGAAAACTCCATGAGATTCATATACAGCCATTTTCATTGCCGCGTTATGATTCTGACCACTTACCTTACACGGACCGTTGCGGTTCTGCCTTACCAGCCGGTCCAATTTTTGTCTCAAATTCACCTGTGATTTTTCCCTTTGACCGATCGCCCAAGGCGAAAAATCGAGTTGAAAAGTCTCAAAAAACCGGTTTTCCTATGACTACCATTCTTGAATCCAATCCTTCCAGTACAAGACACCCTAGGAGAACCCGGTTCAGATAGGTGCATTGGTGGCTTACCTCCTGGTTCAGACCTACTTCTGAACAACGAAGGATAATCCACTTGGTTTCGCCGTTGATTAGCATCTCCAGTGAAGCCCAAGCGAGGTGTTCCAATGAGAGATGGTCTGTGTTTTTGGCTGAAAGAGATTGAAGAACGGTGAGAAAAAGACTTGGAGTTATGAGTTGAACAAGCGAGTTTTATGGAGGTTTTGCGTTGCATCATTGCATTTCGATCGAACCAATCTTGCTCGTAGTCTTTAGGGACCCAAAAGGAGTCAGGTGGAAGATCAGTCAAGGTTTTTGTAGATTCTGATACGGGTTTTTCAAGTATTAAGCTTTGGTGGACGAGAACATCAGTGGATTCTGAAGCCATTATCACCTTTACACAAGTATCTGTATCTAATCTATCTATAAAGAGATAGAGAGAGGGAAAGGGAGAGGAATTTTCAAAGTGAGGACAGAATTGAAGTTTGTTTGAACGAGGGCACAGGGCACTCACTATACGATAATGACAGTGATTTGTGTTCATTGATTAATAACAACATATTAAGTTCCAAACCCGTCCATACGTCCAAATCTAGTATAATTTGAATAAACGTTTGGAGTCTGAAATCGGCCAAAAACATGAAAATAAAGATCAGTAAATGCAACACTAGCTATATATTTCTCATTGATATCGGCCAAAAATATGAAAATAAAGATCGGTAAATGCAACGCTAGCTATATATTTCTCATTGATATTCTCAACATTTTGATAGGTGCAACATTGTCTTCGGTGTCTAACTCGTTTCAAACAAATAACAAGATTTTCTAATGAAGCATGCCTCCGTTTGAGCTCTTTTGTTGAGCATCACTATATTGTGAACTTCATATGATTTGAGCTCAGCAATTCTTTGATAGTTGAACCCTATCACGAGCTTTGTCCTACAGAGCTTGACCTTCTTGTGATTTGTGATCATCCCCAACATGAGCGCTAGCCATTTCGTCAATTGTTGACATTAATGGCGGATTTATTAGGATACATAGTCAATCCCTCGAACTACGAGCTAAACTCGTTCCATCTCAATCTGGGTTGAAATTGCACTAAGGTCGACTGACCTCCTAGCTAAGGTATCTTATGCCTCTTCAGATGATAAAGGAGTTTACTCAGTTTATAGCCTTCAATGAGTCGAGGAAAAACAATAGTTGAACATACAGGGATTGATCCATTCAGCTCCGTTCGTACCAAATGTCATTTCCTACTATACAGAAAACATTATACTACTTAACGTGAGAGATCATATGATCCACGGATTTTCTTCATTACCTAAAAGTCATCAACCAAAAGCATTAATATCTGCACTGGCAATGGCCGAATAGCTTACTTCCCGGTTTGATCTAGAGTTAAGAGAACTTCATAGTTTAAGCACGAAACACTGGCTCAAAGTTTTTCCTTGCGTTGCATCTTCATCATAGCAACCTATAATTTCAACCGTTAAAAATTGTACAAGGCTACAAGCTCTTCCAGGGAAAACGTAGTTTGGAAAAATAAGTGAAAAAGCACTGTGGCTGTATCTCCACTATGTTGACACTTGAGATCCTTCAGAACACAGAGTTTGCTCATTAGTATTAGTATTAAACAAACCTCAGACTGCCCTTCAGCAGGAAAATATGTTAGCCTTCATCTGAATGATTTTTGGATATTTACATCATCCTATGAAGGGGAAACAGTAATTGGCAACAGCAGATTCTTTTGACTTCAGGCTTTTGTGTTGAAATTAAACTTCTATGCGACTTCAATCTCCGTTAGTATCCAAAAACCAGCTAGACAAGGGTCAAATACCGCATCCTCAACAAATCTTCTGGCTAAAAATTAACACATCCTAGACAACAGATTCATTGCCCAACAACCTTCTAAATCAGCAAGTGAGATAATTTTCTATCTCATTCAAATCAAAATGAAAATGCACCAAATGGCACCTTTAAATGGTTCAAAAGATTCTCTTTTACTCGTTACCACCATCACTTGCTAAATCAAAAGTTTTGACCAAGTAAAGATATATATGCCATCAGATGATGACAAATAATCGACATAAAAATGTATTTCCTTTGTTAGTAAAATAGAAAAAACAATGAACAAAAATTAGTAGAAGG